GTAGGGGTAGGAGTAGGAGTAGGAGCAGGAGTGGCAGTAGGATGAGGAAGAGTCGGAGTAGGATGAGCAGGAATAGGACAAGGGGTAGTAGTAGTCGTAGTAGTAGGAGTAGGAGTAGGAGCAGGAGTAGGCGTAGGAGCAGCAGGCGGTGAGAGCGGAAGTGGTAGTGGTAGTGGTACTGCTACCTGTGATGGCAGCAGTTGTGTCGATGCCTCGAACCATGAGCCGACGGGACGAGGCCGCCAAAGCGCTGGGGGCCCGTCACGTTGCTCAGAAGCCGGGAAACGAGACCTTTCAATTGTTGTGTTGGGGCATGTGCTGCATTATGAAACGGCACCCAACACTTAACTTTAAAAACTAAAACTGCAGTCTGGACACTCGTCGAGTGAAACATGGAGCTTACACTCCGAAAGTCTCTCAAATACACCGACTCGCTGCAGACCGAGCTCTTTACGAAAGACCCCAACCAGCCCTTTCGGCCCGGGAGAGGCAACGACAAGTGTTCGAAATGAAATCGGATCATCTGTGCCACAGAAGCCCAGAAGCACGCCTCGGCAAGCGGCGTCGTCAGGGTTCTGCAATCCCAAGCCATTCCTTGCTCAACGGCTTCAGACAGCAGGGTCATCTGCTCAGAGGCTAGCTAAAGGCTCACGTTTCAAGACCCAAAAACGCACTCTGTCCCGAATCGTGGGAGGCCTTGGCACTCAGCGCCTGTGCATTCCTGCTGCCCCCTTTGCACCCACGAAGCTGCTCTACCCCCCTGGCTTCAGCAAACGACCAGTCTAATCATGCCAAGGACTACCGCCCTCTTGGACACATAATGTGCAAAAGGTGTCTTCGATGATCTTTTTGTGCTATATTGCAATGTAAGCTCGAAAAACCCGAACGAGAACCCAGAAACAAAAAATAGACTGATTGAACGCTCTAAAGCCTACACCCCTAAACTCAAGCTTCCTCCCAATGGTCGAACTACCCAGGCACCACTTCGCTCGGGCCCGTTGACGAAGCCCATTAACGTCGTAGAAAACGACGAGATCCAAGCTGTCAACGAGAGTTAGGCCCAGCCTCAAGGAAGGTAATTTAAGCAACATCAGGCTTAGGTTTTAGCCTTGGGTTAGAGTTTCACTTACGCAAGTGGAGAAAAAGGGGATTTCTCAGGTGCCTACATTAGCTTAGGGACTCGAGGTTGTTCAAAGAGAGATTTCTGTGATTCATTCTGCATCTCAGATTTGTCTGGAGAAGCTAAACATTCCTGACCCTACACCCTAAACCCTACACCCCCCGTAAACCCTAAACACTTCCTAGTGACTGTTAGACTCTTAGGGCCTCTGGCCGGCCTGGCACTGCGATCATGTAGGAGCCTGGGACTTAGCGACCTGAGCACCTTGAGCTGCATAGCTTTAGGCTTCCTTTGCATTAGCGGTATGTTGGGGGGGGGGGTCCTACACTGCCACTCCGTTTCTGGAACTCCCATCTCCTCATCTTTGTAGCAGCCTTCTCTCCAAACACTTCCAGCCGAGCAACAGGGAGGCTGTAGCGTAGGACTCACAAGCGGCGTCATCCTTTTCGTTGTGTTTTGCTAATGTGTTGGGCTGCCCAGGACGCGTAGTGGCGAAGTTGCCGAGTTCCCACATGCCCAGCAAGCTAGGGGTCTAGGTTAATGACTGATCTTTCAAGAACATGCTGGTGAGCCCCGAGTCGAGTCGAAGATCCGAACCGCAATGTGAAGTCAGCCGCACATCGTCAGTTCTAATCTAAATTTCTAACCCCTGCAAGCGCGCTACGTGTCTGAAAGCCAACAGCATCCCTGAAATCCTCCACTGATTTAAACTTAGGCGCCTTGATAATTAGAAAAAGACTTCGGGGAATGTTACAACATGATTTTCGGTGTGTGTGTGTGTGTATGTGTGCATGTATGTATATATATGCATGCATGCATGCATGCATGCATGGATGTATGTTTATGTATGATGTAATGACGTATGGATGTATGAATGTATGCGTGTAAGCATCTATGCATGTATGTA